CAGTTATGATTCTGTATTTTAAATCAACAATATTTGATTTGGTCAAGGAAGTTTGCATTGCTGGTTGCCTTTCTTAAGAAATGAGTAACACATGTATGGTAGAGAATTTTCTTGAATGTGATAATGAAATACGAACGCGACTTTGCCTTAACAGCAAGAGTTTGGACTGAGAGCGACTCATTTGCCAATTAAATCATGATATCCTAGAATTTAAATTTTGTTTATTGGTACTATTTTATTTTGAAAACACAAACTTTTTTTTTTTTTTAATTGTTATATTTTTCATTTAGAGCTTACCAAAGTTTAAATAAATGTTTTGCAGCTGTCCGCAACCACCTAAAGCTTCTGTTGTTCTATATGTATCAAATTATCAAGTTTAAAGTGTAATTTAATTACTAAAAAAGATATAATGGTAAGGCAGCTAATGGTAAGTCGTCTAATAGAATCTGTAAATGGTACGGTTTTCCTACCTGTATGTTCTGACTCAAATGTGCCAAACTCTTCACACTCTTAATGACAAAAGGGTAATGAGGACAATATTGTTTCTTCATGAACTTTACTAGTGTGACTTGTGTTGCCTTTGGTAGGCGGTGACAAAGTCGCACTGCAGCCAATCAGAGGCTGGCACCGCCCATTCTGAGCATGATGGACACAGCAGGAAATGCCTTTGAACTGTAAATATAGACCAACTGCCAAGATTTCTTATTCTTCTCTCCTTTTTCTCGCTCTTCCTGCCAGTTCTTCTGTGTTGTCTAGCTATGACCGTGTCAATGGCTTATTGTAAAGCTTCTCGTTTGCCTTTCCTTACCAGGCAGTGCCTTACAAATACAAGTAATAATGATCAATTGTGTGGTGATTGTGTCTGCATTAAAATTGCAATAGGGTCCTTAATCATGTTTCTGTGTTTTTGTGAGAACTGTTCGCTATTTCTTTAAATGTACTGTTAAATGTACCTGTTAAATGATGTTAAACACTAATCATTTCTAATATAGCCCATATATCAGTCATTTAAACAATCATTTTATTGTTATGTGAGTGGTAAAATTATAATATTAATACTAACTAGTAATGGATACTTAATTTGATGCCCATTAATATCTAATCAACTCAGTTTGTTCAGTGGTCCCCACAGTAAGTGTTTGTTTTCAAGCAACAATACACAATTGCTGGGCCAAATGTTGAGATTTTGGGTAACAACTGAGTGTTTTAACAAATTTGGAGGCGATAAGATCAATAAATCAAGTCCAAAAAAGGTGCATTTGAAAGCATCTTCTGTCTAGAGACCAATACTAAAGGAAGAAATGGTATTTGTGATGTATGTAGATTAGGATGCCATCACATTCTCTTACTGCAGAAGGTGGGAGTGACTGTAAATGGATTGTACTGTATAATGTCCAAGCCATTACTGTCAGTGTTAATGTGCTTATCAGGAAATGAATGCACCAGTCTGAAATATTACAACATGAATATTTATACAAGTAACTTTACAGCGGTGTTATCGTTAACTAAAACTGAAACAAAAAAAAAAATTTTGTTAATTAAAAAAAAAAAAAGCTGAAATAAAATACATGCGGAAAAACTTTGGAATGTCGCTTTGGTAACTAAATGAAATTTTAAGCACAAAAAACTAATTTTAAACTATTTAGAAATATATTTTTAAAAGACTAATAACAAAAAAACGAATAAAAATGTCCAAAAAATTTTTTTTCATTTAAAATGATAATGTAAAAATAAAAGCTCATCAATGTTAATAAAAACTATAATAGTATATAAATATAAAGTAACTCTGTTTTACAGGAACTCGAATGCTGTTGGACTCGATGTTGCACTATATGTGCTGATATTCAGTACAACAGCACTGTGTATTTTTTCCCCCTCTGCCATCAAAAATAGTCCCAAATAAAGTTTTTCTTTTTTTTTTTTTTTTTTGCATGTCGGCAAGGAACACTGACTGAAATCCGATCTGGAACGGAGTATGTCAGTTGTGTGGAAAATGAGAACATTTATAATTGTTTAGTTGTTTGTGCACTGGATCTGTCCAGTCATGGTAAAGAATAGGAATAATAATTTTTAAAAAGAGGATTGCAAACCCCCTCTCTCCTTCTAGCCCTCCACACGGTTAACTATTTCCCTTTATTTTTAAGTATAGGCATTAATTGTTGTTTTCTCCTGAATGGTCCTGCCTGAAGGCCTGAGAGCTTTCAGGCTAAACTAGGACACTGATCACTACCTGTCCTCAGCCTGAGTCAAACATGGACATATGTGAGTTAACTCCAACATAAAGACGAGGCTGTGACGCCATTTACTGAAGGCCAACAAGCTAAAGGACATTACATTAGATGTTGTGTGCTGGAGTTGTTTGTTCACTTCACTTTCCAGGTATTTTCAGGCGCTTTCCTCTTCAGGTTCTGCCTCTTAATGTGAGGTTTATTTTGAAAGTTGGTGTTTTGTTCCAGGAATAGAATGCCAGTATCACATTTGTTTACCTACTGTAAATGAGCTATAAACACTTGTTAACAACGTTAATATACTGCCCTCTGCTGCACAAATCCTTCACTACACCCATTCTAGAGTAAAAAAGGAGGGAGAAATCAATTAATTATGTTCCTTCTGTATCATTAACTGCTCCTGTGATGGGAAAGTACAAAACAAAAACGGCCCTTCTTTCCGTGACTAAGAATAGCGCTGAATAGTCCAAGGTCTAAATTTAGACTGTAGACTGACCTGCTGACTCTAAAGCATTAAGCGTTCTCAGGGAGTTTTAATCTAATGTAAGTGGAGGCACAGTGAAGAGAAGTAACGCTTGTGAAAAGGCCAAGTGTGTGACTCACTACCGGTTGAATACAGAGAGAGAGAGAATAAGAAAATAAGTTATATTCTAAAATGTATCCACCTTAAAAGGATGAAGACAACTTTACAGATCTAATCAGTAGTTGCTATCCACACTAAATCGAATAACGATGGTAGCCTGTTTCCACCTCTCTCATAGTTGAGGTATACCTATGATGAAAATTACAGGCCTCTCTCATCTTTTTAAGTGGGAGAACTTGCACAATTGGTGGCTGACTAAATACTTTTTTTCCCCACTGTAAGTAAAAAAAAAATTAAGTTATTGTGACTTTTTATTTCACAATTCGGACAGAAATGCAAGATATAAAATCATAATTGCAAGATATAACTCACAATTCTGAAGAAAAAAGTCAGAATTGCAAGATAGAAACTCATTCTCGCTATTTTTCTTGCAATTCTGAGTTTACATCTCAGTTGTTGTTTTTTTCCTGCCACAGAATTATTTTTTTTTAAAGTGACTTTTATCTCAATTCTGACAATCTTACAAATCTGAGTTTGTCAACAAGCTTCCACAGATAACAGATAAAGCACTGTGCTGTAGTCTTTATTCTTTTCTGATGCTGTATGTGGCGTTATTCATTTCACTGGTCAGATCCTCTTGCCATTTGATCACCACAGTGTTCTGTTTTTTTATTTGTTTTGTTTTGTTCTATGTTGTACACGACTCAGAGAACCATTTCCACCCAGAGCAGCATGTATAATTAGTCAATGTCCTCACCTGCCTGCTAAAACAACTGGCAAAAGGCTGAGAGCACGGAGACATTTGCTGTGTGATGCTGAGTGCTGCTCCTATATCTGTCATTCTACCATTTTCACATGCAACATACTTCTGTCTAGTATACATCACTGTAATTATTGTGTTGTTTATCTGCAGATCTCAACCTTTGTAACTTATAATACAAACTTAAATTAAAGATAATATGTATATTATAATATATATATTATTATATATGATTATTAATAATATATTAGCAACATATTAATATTTAAAAATTTATATATGATGATGATGATTATACTAGATATGTTAATATTTATGATTAGAAATAGTAATAATATGCAAATTGCAAAGCATACAAAATGTTAGTTTAAATTTTGGACTATATGTTGGTTTTATCATTTTTATTGTTAAATTAATAATAATAATAGTAATACATTTGTGTGGGAAAATTATTATTGTTCTTATATTTATTACATATTAATATACTATATATGTCAATGTATTTATTAATATGCAAAATGCAACAAAAAAAATAAAGTGGTGAAAATGTATTATAATTATTAAAAAACATTATTATTATTGTTATTATTAATGTTCATATATTAACTATAATTTGTTATAATAATTTTTTTTTGCAAGTTTGCTTTGACCTCTGGTTAAGAACCACTAATCTAAAGAGAATGTGAAACTGCACACAATGTATTTTTATTCTTGTAATTAGCTTTGCCTTTCCAACAGTGCTATCAGCCCTCTTCCCAACACACACACACACACACACACACACACACACACACACACACACACACACACACACACACACACACACACACAAACAAACAAACACAATCTCTGTTACCTGGGTAACCTTGCCAGGGTGGAGGAATAATTCTTAGCACCTACATTTACCTCCTCCCCTTTCTCTCTCTCTCTCTCTCTCTCTCTCTCTCTCTCTCTCAAGGGAAGCGCAGGAAGTATAGCAGCATAGACACATTCAGAC